CAGGCTTCCAAGATTGCAAAAGTGAAAGCTGCCAGGCCTTCTTAAAACTTAAGTCTGGAATTGGCCGGGAGCCACTTCCATTACGTTGTATTGATTAAAGTAAATCACAGGCCCAGTCCGGATTCAAGAGGAAAGTTCTACACAGGGTGCTAATACTAGGAGGTCACTGGGGGCCTCCAATGTCACAGGATAGCAGAATGGGTGGTAGAGATGGCAGCATATGTAAGAGACCTTATCTGCCAACTACTTTCTATGTGGGTCTCACAGTCTCATCTCTAGCTTCATAATCTTAACAACTTTCATATCAACCTAGCACCTTCAAATCATTTTTAGGATATATCATGTGTGGAGAAAGTGGTCAGTTGCCCTTTGCTTCCCATTAATTGGTGCATGAATGCCCTACTCCCACACAGACACGTCTCTCCGTTCCCCTAATCACACTCTTGGTGTCCTGCCTGGGCTCCTGTCTATCTAGCAAGGACATCAGATAACAACCATAGCTTAGGTCAAAGAGTGATGGTGGAATTTCAGGCAGAGTGAGGCTGTCAGGGAGAGTGAGACAAGTGAAAGGTTTTCCCTGCCTCTCCAATCACAGCAGGTCATTCATTCCATCCATCTGTGATGGCCAGGCCCGCGGAAGATGATTGCGAGGACTATTTCCTAAGCACTGTGTCCTTGCAAGTGTTGGGTCAGAGGGAAGCAGAAAGGAGAGACAACCTTGAAATGTACTAGTGCAGAGGGTAAGAGCCTCTTTTCAGAGGAATTCCTAAGCATAACAACTTCGATGAAGTCACCTGCTGAGAGCTCATGGCCACTGAAGCAACCCTTCCTGAGAATATTTTGAGCCGTTGCATGCTTATCAGTTTGACTATAAAAATAATTTTAAAAAAAAGTTGTTCATATTATTTATTATATGGCTCTTATTAGATGCCAGGCACCATTCTAAGTGTTTGACATACATTGGCTTACTCATATTCCCCACAATAACCCTGTGAGGTAGCTACTGTCTTCATTTTACAGATGTGGAAACTGAGGCTCAAAGAGAGGTTCAGTAGCTTTACCCCAAGCCCCTTGGCTGAAAGCAGCAGAGCCGGGTTTGAGCCCAGGAAGCCTCCCTTTGGAGCCTGCATCTTAATCACTGGTTATGTTGCTTTAAGGAGCCCTTGTGTTGGGCCTTAACCTTATTAAGGAACCTGGCTTTTTTCAGCCCAAAGTAGGGCTCTTTTAAAATCCTACACCTGAGCAGGAGGGCTGATGCTTCCCATCATAACCCCACTTTGGAAAAGTCGCTGCTTTGAAGAATCACCTGATTAGGAAGTTGTTCCAGGGTTGACACTTCTGTTCTCAAACCAGTTTCTCTTTTTCTCTTTCTGTATTGTATAGGTAATAATTATATACACGTTACATATACACATGTGCATATATCAAGAAACACAAATGTGTGTTTGTATTCCTAACTCAGAATATTTTGACTAACGGGTATGCAAAATAACATGATAAATAGCTCTTGGAATTAACCAATAAACATAGGAAGAATTTCCCATCTAGCTCAGCAAACACAATAATCCCTATAAATACAACTTTCGTTACTTAAATAAATAAAAGAGAAGAAAAACCCCAGGGCATTTGACTTAACTGGATGGCTATTAACTGTTGCCAGATGTTGACCTATGGATTGACATTAAGTGTTGATGCACAGAGCAATTATAATTGCAATTAGCTACCTGCAAACATTGGGTATTTATCCTTTTTGAGCAGTAGTGGACATTGCAACCCCTGGACATTTTCCCTTGGTGGATATCTGCCTTTGGTGAGAACTGTCATTGATAGACATTAGGTGTTGATAAACATTAGGTATCAATGGACATTTGCTCCCTGGTGAACATTAGCTAACATGGAACATTAAGCATTGATGGGCAGAGCCCTATTAGCCCATGATGACCTCTATTGTTTTGGTGGATGTTAGGTGTGAGCAGAGGGTAGGCTTCTGCCCCCCATGAACTTGACAGTCTTGTCCAGAGAAACATTCTATGATCTGGCTTGGAGGCAGCTGGTGGGTGTGAGTATCTACGTCTCCATCTGCCCCCTCTCTCTGAAAGTCCTTTGGCCATGGCAATTTGGAGAAATCAGAGGGTGGTGTGGGTAACACCCATAGAAGGAAATTCCTGGGTTTGAAAGAGTCTAATCAGCTCCCTGAGCTAGAGGGGAATTGGATGACACACGAAACCACAGGCTCTCATCTGCTGTCTTGACTAACAGCCTGAGTTTTTGTCACTTCCTTCTCTGTAAATGGTATAATTTAAGCACACCAAGGCTGGCTTCATGAGCAGTGAGACCTGAGAAGAGGCCCCAGTGCACTTGATCTAATGCTCTTCTCTTGCCGTCTTGAAATTCTTAATAATTTTTGAACAAGGGGCCCTACATTTTCGTTTTACACTGGGTTGCACAAATTAGGCAGCCAGTACTGTCACACAGAATCCTGGCCACATGCTGTGTGACCTTGGGCTGCTCCTCTTTGGTCCTTGGTCTCCCCATCTGTGAAATAGGGCCAGGAGGGGGAGGACTTTGACCGTGACCTTTGGCTTTTCATGCTCTAGGATCTAGAATCAATTGATCTGATTAAAGATATTTAGAGCTGCATAACTTCTCCAGTTTGCCTTCAACAGAAAAATAAATGAAATTTCAGTGTTTTTTGCTTTCTCAGAGTATCTCTGCCCTTTCTGACATGTGGGATCTGCATGGCTGGCCCAGCCACTGAGGTAAGACAGGCAAAAATGAGGGACACATTGTCTGACAGATGAAGCCATCCAGGCCCAGGCTGGTTTCCTCATCTGTATGGTAACAATAACACTAGGAGCACTGGTTGGGAGGAGAAAATGACAGCATCCACACCAAGTCGAGAAACATGTGCCTACTAAATGGCAGCTGTATTATTAATGAAATGCAAAGAAATGTTGTTGACCCAGCCTGTGCCATGATGGCAAGCTGTGCCTTAGTTGTTTCTGCATCTCTAAAACTCAACTGACATGTGCATTGAAGGCCTATTTATTCCATGCCAGGCACACAGAGCAAAGATTCTGCAGATTGTTGTTCTGTAATGCTAAATCTTAAACTTTTATGAAATCCTTCAGTTCTGAGTCAGCTATCAAAATATGAGTCTAAGACTACATGGTTCCATCATCTAATTCATAATTCTATAGTTAAATGAGGGAGTTCCAGGACAGGCATTCATGGAGTGTCTATTTTGTGCCAGGCACTGGGCTCGATTCTTGACACACATTACTTCATTTACTCGTCATACAATCCTGTGGAGGGAGACACTGTCATCCCCATTTTCCAGGTTCAGAGAGGTAAAGGGACTTGGCCAGTCCCACAACTGGTTTGTGATGGGCCCAGGATGTTAACCGTTTTCTATGAACTCCAAAACAAATATTTGCACTCATTTCTATAATTCTGTAAGATTCGAATGACCCCATTCTTGGCCACAGGATTCCAGGAGGGAGGAGAAGGGCAGCATGAAAGCAGTCCAGCTAGCAGGTGGGGGCTGGCTGCACCAACTGCGCAGGTCCACTTTGGCCTTGCCTGGGTGACCCCTCTGACCGGAGTGTCTGGTTTTGAGCGAACACGAGGTGGCGCTGCGGGATGAGAGCCTCCGGAGGGGCTGCACGGATGCCGGATTGCGGCGGGGCTTCTGCTTTCCCTAAAACAGGCGGGAGGCCAGGGCTGGGGGTGAGGGGTAATTCCCCATAGGAAAGAGGAACCCACAGTGTGATGGCGTCTGCGCCCGCCCTCTCCCTGCGGCTGTCCCAGGGAAGAGGTGAGTTGTCTTAGGGATCACTCCCCTCCTGCAGAAGCCCCAGCCCCCCCATCCCCTGCCTTTCATACCCTTTGTCCCTAATCTTTAAGACCCCTATGATCCTTGTCCTTCCCCTAAGGACTCCTTCCTCAAGCGTGGTTTCACTGGGTGAAAGTCCCAGGGATCTCTCCACCATCCCTGCCTTTGAAGCCTCTCTCATCCCAGGGAATGTGGGAGTAAAGAACCAGAGGACAGGACTGGGGTCTCACCCTGACCACACCTTCTCCTATGCCTCAGCCCCTTCTCATATTGGCCATGGATGCCAGCCTTGGGCTTTGTTTTTTCGGGGGGCGGGGGGCTGAGCAACAAGCTGGGCAAAGCTCCGACCCACACCTGTGGCCTGAATGTCCTGGGTTCTTTGCCATTGCTCATCTACCACCCCTCCCAAGTGCCAGCCCCTTCTGTCCAGGCACACCTGTTCTTCTCAGCTGCGTGGTTGAACTTCCTCCAGGAAGCCTTCCTAACCCTACCACAGGCTCTCACAGCTCCCTGTGCTGTTTAGTCACATGTCCTGTGTGTCCTTCTTCCCCCTCCCACCCCAGGAGCACAAGTTCCCTTAGAGCAGAGATGGGGGTGAACCTGTGGTTGTTGGTGATGATGGCGGTGGATATTCCTGCAGACCTTAGCCAGTTAGAAGAATTTGCTGACAGTAGAGCCACTCAGGTGAGCTGGAAATGAGCTCCCTATCACTGGAAGTATGCAAGTACGAGTTAGGGTACCACAGCAGTCAAAATGCCAAGATAGAAGTACTGTAGGAGCTGAGGAAGGAGGTGGAGAAGGACCTCAGGGAGAAGGTGAGGCAGGAACTGGGTCTATCAGGATGGGAAGCTGAGAGATAGGGATGAGGGCAAGGGCAAGGTCCCAGAGTGACAGCCTGAGCAAAGGCAGAGGCACGCAAGAGCCTGACAAGTTCATGGAGTTGGTGCAGCAGGGAGAGGAGACAGGAAGGTGGATGGGGTACAAGCTGCTTTGAGAGGTGCAACCCACCCCCGAAGAACTCCCCCGTCCATGTCACCTCACTTCCCCATCCTGAGAGGTTATTAGGCTTTTCAGGGAGAACACACTGCCCAAGGCCGGGCTGGTCCGGATTCATCCTTGTGACCCCAGGGCCCTGCCCAGGGAATGTCAGTGGACACTGGCCGAGTGATAGAAAAAGGGACTCTTTATGTTTATTAAACCAAGGACCAGCTAGGTATTGGGTGGGCTCGTGGTGGACAGAGCTTTCATTGTCCTGTGGGCATCTCTGTGGGACCAGCTTCCTGGTGCTCACATCGCCACTTGACAGCTGGCTTCCACCCAACACCTCCTCCCCCACACACATCTCCAGGACACACTATTACAAAAGTGAGCAAATGCAACTTTTTTTTCTTCTCTTACAAATGACACTTTTCCATCCCCTGCCAGCAGGGGTGGGGGGCTGGTTGAAAGTGACAGTCCATTAAAAAGGCAACAACTTGTATAATATAAAAAGAGGACTAAGGAAAGAGCCCATGGCTGGGAGGCCGAGATGCCATGCTGGTGGGAGAGCATCAACTTGGATGGGAGCTGCCTGCCTCATCTGCTGTGTTCTCAGTTGGGTGAGACAGGCCGTGTGGGCTGTCTGGATTCAGCGCCAGTGGAGGCTCCAGGACTACATCAACATCTTGGGGGAGCATCAGAGGCAGTGCCTCAAGAATCAGTGGGTGCATTTCCAGTCCTGATGCTGGGGGACCCCACCCCTGAGTGGGAAACTGGCAAGGCTGGACTGGCATGCCGGAAGCTTCCAGAGGCTGAGAGATGAAGTGACTTAGCCTGTGCCACACAATTGGTCACTGGGCCCAGTCCCACCTCTGAGGACCTTGCCTGTTCTCCTGGGGATCACGGAGAAAGGACACAAATGGCAGCAAGAGGGAGCCCAGATGGGGAGGGAGGGCACGATTTAGAGAAGACAGCAAAGTGCAAAGGGGCCCAGCCGGGAGGCAGGACACTGGGTCAGGTCATGACTCCACTTGCAGTACATCAGATCAGCAATTTTCCTTCTCGAGGCCTCAGTTCCCTCATTTGTCACATGGAGGTGGACTTGATTTTTTTTCCCAGTCTTCTCTATAACTAAAGTTCTACCCAAGGTTTTAGGGGAAGAGAAAAGGAGAAAATGGGCCTCATGTGCCCAGAGCAAAAGAAACTCATGCCCCTGAGTGACTGGACCATGGGCCCAAGGGGGCGCTCAGCCATGGACCTGACCTCGACCCTCCTCCTGTCATGGTCAGGTTGGCCCAGGCCTGAGGGAAGGCACTTTGGGGTCAAGTGGGGACGAACAGCAGGGGACTGCTGTCTGGTTTGGCATTGGAGGCCCTCTGCTTATGGTTTGGTGGCAACACAAAGGGACAAGACTTTGCTCCTGGGTGTTGGTCCCAGGTCCAAAGCCTCTTCCCAGGTCCACAGCTGTCTTTTGGTGATGTTGCCACATAGGTCTGCAGAGTTCCTATGGGCATTGGCACATTAAAATATAAATTACCCAGGACTTGAGTCAGCCCAGGGCAGCAGTCTGTTATGTGGCCCCAGGCCATACCATTTGTCACAAGGTATGGGGGTCCCTGGCAGCCTGTTCCTGGGTGTCTATGCAGTGCAGGGCCACCTTGGGGGTGGAGTTAGGCTGCCGGGGGTAGGCACCTTCCCGTACCAGGCGCCGGCACCACACACCCTGGCCCACATTGACACTCTGCAGTGCTGGGAGGTGGGGGAGCAAGGTCTCAGGCAGGGGCACCAGGCCTGTGCCCGACAGGTCCAGCTCCTGCAGGGAGCTCAGGCCTGAGAACACTTCCGCTCCTGCCCACTTGAGCTTGGGGTTGCCTGACAGGTCCAGGACCTGCAGGCTCTGCAGCTCACGGAAACCATAGGGCTCCAGTTGGGGGAGACCCTGCAGGCTGCCCAGCGACAGGTGTGTCAGGCCCACCAGCCCTGTGAAGGCACCTGGGCCGATGGCAGCCAGAGGGTTCCCATCCAGGCTCAGGTAGCGCAGAGGCAAGTCCCGGAGGTCAGGAACGGTGCGGAGCCGATTCCAGGCCAGGTTCAGGCTCTGAATGGTGGGCATGAGCAGGCCGGCCCTTGCAGGGTGGGGCACGAGGCGGTGGATGAGGTTGTGGGAGAGGTCCACGTGCAGTGCCCTGCCCTGGCTGTGAGTAGTGAAGGCAGACACTGGGACCTCCTGGAGCCGGTTGTGGCTGAGGTTCACGTCACTCAGAGGTGAGCTGGCGAAGCTCTCGGCTGGCAGGGCTGCCAGGCCATTGTGGCTGAGGTCAAGGGACTCCAGGTAGCGAAGGCGGGAAAAGGCAGTGGGCGAGATGCTGGTGAGCAGGTTGTGGCTGAGATCGAGGCCAGCCAGCGTGGTATAGCCCGGCCCTGCCAACACTGACTCATTCACGGTCTCCAGTCGGTTTGAGGACAGGTCCAGGTGGGCTGTGTCCAGAGGGATGGGCACGGGCACGATGTGAGGACCCAGGTCGCTGCAATCCACTCGTGTCAGGCTGAAGCTATCAAAGAGGCCGAAGGTCTCCTCCTCACACTGGCATCCCGGGAAACATGGCCGGGTCGTCTGGACCCCGCACACGGCCAGCAATAGCAGTGGAGGCAGCAGCAGAGGCCGCGGCATGGTGGGGGCTAGAAAGAGAGCCGTAGGTGAGGGTTGGCAGTAGGTACCCCATACCAGATGGTTCTAACCCCACCCCATAAGACATCAACCATTGTATCTAGGCATAGCTGAGAGTTGCCACCTGCACACTGTCCTCCCAGGATGCTTTCCCTGAATATATGTTCCTCATATAATTTCTCATCCTTGGTGTCTCTCTGGCCTCAGACTCCCAATCTGTTTGGTAAAGGAGGTTAGGCCAGATTGGTGAATTTTAAACTGGAAGCAGAACTCTTTCATAAATAAGATTAGCAGATGACAGTGGGCCTGTTCTGGCTGAAGTGAGGGTGGGGACCTGGAGCCTTCCATGTCAGCTCACCATCTCTGCCATAGGACATTAAGGAACCCAGCTGGAAACCCACTGGACTAGATGGGTCTTTGGCTGGCCTCTCCAGCTCTGATGATCTAGGACCATGGGCTGGTCTTAACCCAGGCCCTATGGGTAGCGGGTGGGGCTCACAGCTTAGAGGTCAGGGTCAGGGTGCTCCATTGACCTCTGCCGAGCATGTGCCATGTGCCAGAAGCTGAGCAAGCTGCCCCACCGCACGGTCTCACTTGACCCTCAGAACCACAAAAATCACAATACAGCAATTTCTGTCACCACTTCACAAAGAGGCAACTGAGACTTAGAGAGGTTCAGAAACTTACGTACTACCACACGTAAATGGAAAGGGAACTAGACAGAGCACAGAGAAAGCATGGCTCACACTGTCATGGCTGGGCAGTGGCTGAGCCATTCCTGAGACACGCACTCTGGCCTCCCAGGCCGGTCTTTTCCTGCAAGGACTGGCCCCACCTCTTTTTGGGCGACAATGTCTGAGTCCACAGCCCTAAACCCCCTCACCTGGCCTGTCCTCCAGAGGCAGGATCCTTCATTCCAATTGGAGACCCTATGTCTAGACTTCCAGATGGGCTCTGGGGACGCCTGTACCACCCCCTTCTCCCTTGCCCTGCCCCTACCCACTGCTGATACAGTTATTACTCCTCTTTGGCTCTTCCTTTGGCCTAGGGCAGACAGCTGGGCTGGTTCTCCAATATACAGATGAAGAAATAGAGGCTCAAAGAGGAAAAGGGTTTCCCCCCAAAGTCATAAAAAGCTGGGCAGGGCTAGAACCCAGGCTTGCTCAAGGCCAATCCCTCTATTTTCATCTGCTGCCTCCAGCAGGAACAGCAGGGCAGCCAGTGGAGAGACTGGATCCAACAGGGATTTTTCCCACTGACACATGCTATGACACAGCAGCGTCCCTTCCTTTGGCCTCAGTTTCCCTCCCTGTACAAATTATCACAGGTAGCTGCCACGGATGCCAGGCACGACATGTATGTTGTCACATTCAGTCCTCACATCCACGCACATCTGTCCGACTCCAAGCCTCACTCCAGCAGGTCTCTTCATCTACAGTGGCCCTGCTCTGCCCCAATGCCCTGTCTCCCCCTCCCCAACCCATCCCTCTCATTGGCCTTCAGGGAGAGATGGCTCAGGAACCTGCCCCCCTTCTAGACTGGGGTGGGTGGGGAGGGAGGCGGGATAGTATTACCAATTCCTCCATGAAACTTTAAAGGGGTTGCCACTTGATCCACACTTGACTCTGCCTGGGGGCAGAAGGAAGTGGGGCTCTTTTCCCCACCCCCTTCTGGGGGCCCTTCCTCTCCCGCCCCTTTCTTTTGTAGAGTCCAGTTTGAGGATTAAACCCAGCCCAGGTGCATCCTGGGCTTGGTCCCAAATGAGGCAGAACAGAGTGTTCCCAGGTCTGGAACCAGAAGGAAAATATTAAATTGCTTCAGGCCCCTTTTTGTTCCCCAGGGTGAGCTTCTCACCGCAAAGGGTTCATTACCATTCAGGGCCCCACCTTCCCTGCTAAGCCTTCCTGGGTTAAGCAAACACCACCCATACAAAAAAAGGCCCCCAGGTTACCCTTTGGTTCCCAAAGGTGCTTATACAACATGCCTATTAAATGTCAAATGGCCTCTCATGAGCTGCTGCTTATGTAACCAGGAGCCCAAACACAGCCCAAATGCTACTCCTCCAGAGGGTGCCTCTTGCCACCCCTTTCCAGGCCTCAGCCTTGTCCTCTGAACCACAGGCAGGAAGTCTTGCTCTGCCCTCCTCACATAAGTCAATGGACTCTCACATTTAGTGCAATGCAAACTGCGAAGAGCTGCGCAGGCATGCAGAGTGGTCATCACGGGGCCACTGCAGGTGTAGAATTGAGGCAATGGTCGGGACAGCTGGTATAAAGGGAACAAGGGCGTACAATGAGACCCAGCTGCATAACGTGACTGAACGCTCCCCAGGGTACCCTGGAGAGGTTCTTGCTCAGCCCTGCACAATGGACAGGTTTCCCGGGGCCCCCATTCTGTGTCAGGCCTGGACATCCACATGGAAAGTGCTGATGGTGACAATCAGCGCCCGTCCTCACTATGTGCTAGCACTCTTATGTTCCCTCATACAATCTTCAATCACCCAAGGAGGTCAGCAGCCTTATGTCTATTTTAGAGCAGAGAAAACAGGATGAGAAAAGGAAGGTGGCAGAGCCGGGAACTGAACTCACGCCTTTGAAGTTTGTAATTGGTCTGGCTCCAGAGGAATGTATACTTGTGTGTGATGCTGGGGAAAGAAGAGCTAAGTGTCCAGAGCCCTGGGCCCGCTGTCACTGACTGCTGTGGTGAGGTAGGTGCCAAGAGATTTTTTTATTTTATTATTTTTTTTTGCTGAGCCATCCTACCACCTGTTGGCAGCTCAGCTCCGGCCGGGAATCGAACCAGGATCTTGTTGCTCAGACCTCGTACTCTTGAGTGAGCTCTTAACCAACTGAGTCACGCGGCTGACCCAGTGCCAAGCTTTTTTAGTACATAATGGCTCCAGGGCTTTCCTGAGGTCACAGCAGAGCCCAGAGGCCTCTCAGGGGTGTCCCATGCTGTGGGGAGAAAGGAGAAACCCCTGAGCAGCCTCACAACCTTGGATCCAGAAGGGGGCAAAGGCGGAGGTGTGTGCTAGTGGTCTTTGAGAGTCAGCGCCCCTGTTCTGCTCAGAGGAAATGTCTCCTTTGGGGTAACATAAGGAAGGGTACCTCTGTGTGAGTATCTCAAGAGATGCTAGGGTCTGGCACTGCTGTTACAAGTCCCTTAGCAAAAGGCTCAGGAGCAAAGGATGAGGCCAGAGTTTCCACAGGAGGGGACTGAGGGAAGATAAGGAAAGTTCCTGGAGGCCCTAGAACTTTAGAGTTAAAAAAGGCCTTTATTCATTTGATGCTGGGAGGGCCCAGAGCCAGTCATGCAATCCCTTATTTGAGTGATGAAGAGAGTGTGCAGTGACTTGTCTGGGGGTCCCCAGTGAGGTACGGTGGCCAATGCTCAGGCTTGGCCTCCTGACTCCAGGCTCAGGGCTTCCTCAGCCCCTCAAGATGGTTGTTGACTTTCCCAAGGATCTCAGGGAGTCAATAAAAATAACACACAGAAGAGTTTGCAACCTCATGGAGAGGGCTGATGCCATAATGCTAGGTATCATAAAGATAAATTGCATGTCTAAGAAAACTATAACTATGCATAAAAAAAACCCCAAAAAACTAAATCCTAATTTTGGAAAGTCTACAAGAAACTATATCAATACAACAGTGGCTTTTCTTTAAATGGTAGAACTCTGAGTGAATTAAATGTCTTAATCTCTCCCCCCATGTCCTTATACTAAATAAATACACATACACACACACACACACACACACACACACACACACACACAGTAACAAAGACTGCTAATAGGACTGCCTCATGGCCATCTCTGCTTTCTCTGATCTTTGCTAGCCACAATCTCTGAGTCTGTCTCTTTATCTGTAAAATGGGATATTAATAGCCACCTCACAGGACTGTCATGACGATGAAACAAAATGGTGGAAGTAAAGCACCTGGCAGGGCTCCCAGCACATGGGAAGGGCATAGTGTGGGCTGCCCTGCCTTCCTCCACAGACAGGGAGCTGGCGGGGTGGGGATCAGTGGGAGGGCCTGACCCCATCTTCCTCCTCTTTCCTTTAGTAAACAAATACGTCAAAGCTCTTATCAGAGCGTTCCTGGAGAACAGTTCTTTCCATGGAGGCCATACTGTGCTATTTCTCAACAGGGCTGCTAGATCTGAGAAGGAATGAGCAATGTGAACTCCTCTGCACAAAAACCACCAGCAGGCCAGCCGAGTGGCTCAGTTGGTTAAGAGCTCGCTCAAGAGTTTGAGCTCTGAGCAACAGCGGTTCGAGTCCCGGCCCGAGCTGAGCTGCCAACAGGTGGCAGGATGGCTCAGCTAAAAACAAACAAACAAACAAACAAACAAACCCACCAGCCTCAGCTCTGTGGAGAAGAAAGGCCTTCACAGGAAGCCAAAAGACCTTGGACACCACCTTGCAGTGTGAACCAGGAAAGTTGCTTCACCTCTCTGGACCAGTTCCTTTAACTGTGAATCTGGGATGGTAATGAGGGTCCCATTGGCCTCAGAGAGAATAGCTGTGAACACTCCTTATAGAGAAATAAGGCCCCAATAGATAGAAGCCACATCATGGAAAGACTGTGCATTTTCATTCTACCTACACCCATACCCACTGCAGACATAATCACAGCACCGCTTCCTGGGGAGTCTGCACAGGACCTCAGAGCTCTTCTCAACACGGTACTCTAAAGAGTCTCTACGCATTGATCAGGGTTGGCCCTTGAGATGAAAACTGTCATTCTGGGATCAATTCTCTGATTCGAGGGAGCTAAAACACCGGGAACAGGAGTCACCTGCTAAACTGGGCGACGTTGGGAAGTGACTTCCTCTCTCTCAGCCCGTTTCCTCGTCTAAAATGGAGACAACCATCCCTTCCTCAAGCGGTTGCTGTGAGGACTAGAGGTCGGTCACAGTGCCAGGACACTGACAGATGTGTAGTTGATGGGTGCTTGTGTCTCTCCTAGGCTATCTGGTAGAAGGAGTTCCCCTAGAGAAGGTACCCCA